GCTCCACTAATGTATGGTAAAACTACTCCGATGCAAGTCTCGCGTTTCTGCGAGAGAATTGAGTTTAAAGTTTTCTATGCAGTTTATATACTGCGAGTTTTCGATATCTTCCGAGCTCAGTGGCATAACTGGGTGCGTAAGGCTACTAGAACAAAAACTTCAAATCTGGACGTTTGTAACATTTTTTTTTAATCCGCATGTACAGATTATTGTAGCATTGTGAATGAATATATGAACATTTATATTCCTTCATATATAAATTTTCTATTAAACATTCCCAAACAGCTAATAAGAATTGCACTTCCTTTTTCACCGCCACATTGCCATTTTGTTATATGATCAGCAACAAACGTCGACTACTGCTGAGCTCGAAAAAATGAAAACTCGCGGTATACCAAGGTAAAAAAAAATTTAACGCTCAATTTTCTCGCGAATACTTGTATCGAATGGTTTTACCATGCATTAGTGAGGGTATAGCACACTACAGCACCGAGAGAGCAATCTCTGATGGTCCTCGCTTGGTGATTAGGATTTACGCAGTATCCCGTGGCGAAAGTGTTAAAGCTCGTTCGTGACGGGTAAAAAGGAGCAGATTATTGTACGAATGAAAGTCGGCATGCGAGTGCGCGGCAGAAGAGAGATCACACGAATTTTCTTAGGCACAGCGATAACGTAACCATGCGATCCTGTTCACTCGATCGCTCAGGTCGGGGTATCGCAATCGGCACATCACGTCGGTGATCTTCCGCTTTCTTTTCGCCGCATCTGTTTTGCAATTATCTCACACGTTCTTGCCGTGCATACGTATCGAAAACGCGGCATACAAGACGTGTATGCCTCGTTAGAGGAGTAATCTGGTATAATTTTGATGGCGTGCAATTTTCGGCAAGCGTTACATCGCGCTGGTTGGAGTAAAATCATTGTGACAATTTCCGTATGCACGGCCTTTAATAAATGTCTTTAGAGAGGATGAGATTACAGAGGTGGCCCACTGTTGAGAAATATTGATTGAGCGAATTTTTTTGGATTTTTATTGTCGCCGGCATTCAGAACGTATCGGAAACGGTGGAAACAAGCTTTTAATTGGTGCAGTGTTTTATGCGCGTCCCAACATACATGCTGCATGCCGTCTCTCGAATCTGGGATCTCGTACGGTTTCTTGTACAGAACGTTTTTTTTTTTTTTTACTATCCCAGCAGCCACCGCATTACTTTTATGTCACGAATTCTTCTTCGCGCTTTTACGATATCTCATCACGATACGCAGTCTCAGTTTCGAGTTGACTTGGTATTGACATGTGAGCATTTTAACATACATTTACTCAAAGCTGATCATTATTCGCGAGAGAAAATCTCACATTTAAATAAGATTTTAACTTTTCGACACAATTATGTAAGCATATTTTGTATCGTTTTAATCTCTAGTGCTGACATGATTCCAAATCGAAACTTAATCTCTAAGTACACCGTTAAACTTAACCCATTAACCGGGCAGGCGATTAAGATATTTCTCTTCTGCGTTTATATTATATACATTAATATACGCGTAATTTTCCTACATCAGAGATCGTAATGTAGTTTCATGCATTAGTATGTAGATGTAATTTATATACACACACACATGTATATGTATATAGACGTATATATTAGTATCTAGATATGAAAATAATATCGCCTTAAAACGTACCGATATCAAAGTATCCGACGATATAGTTTCAGTCAAATAAATGCAAAACATAGTATATCAGTAAAGTATTTATGATTTATAAATAATTCGATACAGTGGCGATTCGTATGTCATGCAAATTACTTTCGGATTGCCTTCGCGTCGTAACGATATACGTAAACGATAATTTTAGATAGTATTTAGATTATAATCATAGTGTAATGTTACGAAGACGGAAACTCGGTTAAAGGGTTAAATCAGGAACTCGGAGAGACTGTAACTGTCGTTTAGTTACTTAAAGTAAGACCATCCTCATAAAGAAAGAGAGAAATATTCCCAATCCTTTTAACCAACCTTTCTCATCTCGTACTATTTCAATCACGAACCTCATTCGGTGCTCCTCGATAGAAGCGGCACTTGAGATAAAAAGTACATTCTCGGACATAAAGTGAACTTTAACGACTTTCCCTCCTTTTTCTTTCCCGCAGACGTCCTCCCGATCCCCAAATTCAAAAACATCGAAACCGGAAGTTCGACCTTTATCCAAAACGGAGACGCAGCTCCGGGTCCCCAACGGTTTTCCTTGACCCAGCACACCAATTACCACCCTTACAGGCGCTAGAGACGACGTCAAACGATCGAGGGACGAGAGAAATAACTTTCACAAGTACGCAAATAGACGACGAGAGAGAGAGAGAGAGAGAGAGAGA